GATCAATTATCATACCTCGTTGTCGACGGTTTCTTCGGGTGAAAACACTTTCGTGGGAGTCAATCGGGATGGATGTTCGATAGGCCACGGCACAAATTCACAAATTATAGGTAATCCTCGGGACTTTTTGGACGATCGCCCCGAAGTTCGGGTGCGCTCGCGTTATATCGGGATCCAGTGTGGAAATCTGATCAGATGACAGTTTGTTTGGTAACGATGACACGTCAAAGGTGTCATTGCTGGATGATGAAAATAAACAAAATCGGCTAGCATGTTATAACAATCAATTGTTAAAGTGTGAGAAAGTTCACAGTTAACTAAGACAAAGGGGAGAATCTAAAAACAACTAGAAGAAATAAGAAACCTACGAGATTACTCCGTTTAACATATTATTGCTATAACATATTTGTGATTTTTTTTGCGGGTCAGTGTGAGGGAGAGAAATTTGTCACTTTGATGGCCCTAGAAACATGAATTATGTAATTGCTTGCTGATAGTTATGTTAAAACGCAGTTTTGCTTCGTTAAAAACTTAGAAAAGTAGTCCCTGGAATCTCACATTTACCTGGATAGGAAATATCAAATACCTCTACTCTATACCCAATATTTATTTTAAAAATCAAAAATAATGGATCTATTCAAAAATAAAGAATATATAAAAAGGAATTGTACAAAATGAAAGCAGAAGAAAACGTGTCTGTGAGAAGTTTTCAATAAAAATAAAATTTAAAATAGCAAGACGTTGTGAACAGCATCTCCGCGGCCAATATATCGGCTGCGGAGAAATCGAGGATAATATTTATGCAAAGAAATTAAGATTGAAAATAAAAAATTAATTACTAACTCAAAAAATCAAAGGATGCAAGAACTAAATAAAATTTATCAGATCATTTTTTTGTTTAGATCTTGTTTAATGGGAGAATTGCGGAAGTAGTAAAGCCATCAGTCTTCTGGTCTGAGGAACTGGATTTCATATCCCTATCACCTCAGTAATTTTTTTATGAGTTGACCATAATACGTTAGACTCATTTTCATCACAAGACCGTCACATTACGGACTGATTAAACTCGCTAATTGGCAAGCGGACAAACACTTTTTGTTTTCCAGGACAAAGAGTTTAAAAGCTATAAAATTCATAAATTTGTATTATTTGATTACATTTAAATTTGAAATCTATGAAATTACATATCTGTAAAAGAAGCGTAAATTTTAGATATGATTAAATATTTATTTTTCCAATGTTTATACAATGCACAAGATTTAAACGCATTTATAATGAGAAAATCTTGTGTAAATATCGTTTCAAAATTTAAATATACTTATTATAATAAATATAATATCGATAAGCAAATAATACACAATAAACAACTGTTTTAAATTTAAGATGTGTTTATTTTAAGTTCTGATTTCGTGGTAAGTTACATAATTTAAAGAAACGAGAACTTTTAAGATCTACTGTATTTTATACAATTCTACAATTTATTGGAATTAATGATTTCTACAAACATGAAAAAACTGATTCAATTTGATTTTAGTTTTAAAAATTGAAACTAATGCAATTAGCAATATATTTAACGTTTTCAGCCTCATGGAATACACCATCCTCGAGTGTAAATGAGTTGGAACGTATTTTATTAAATAAACGTTTCTCAGCGATGGAAGGTGTTTAATGTTTTAAGTGTTTTAAAAACGCTGAGTTTGATATTTAGTTAAGTAAATGACTGACATAATAGTACAATTATGTTTAATGTTTTATTAAGTGTCATTTATTTATCCATAAACCTGATTTTGGGTTTAAATAAAAGCTTTTTCATTCTTATAATAAAATTCATATAGAAAATTATGAAATCGAACTCGAAGGTTATATCTCTTTCAATAAAAAGAAAACATTCGTCCTCACAGCGATTCGATCTAGCGCTCTTGTAGTAATTGCAGTGCCCCTAGTGGTAACATTTGTCTCTAGTTGATTTTAGCAACGAGCGAAGATAGGAAGTCGAAAGACCAGTTAATCTACCGACTCTGGTAAAAGTATACACAGTAATGGACGCCGCCATCTTTGAACAAACTCCAAGCTTGTTGTAAATTCTCCGAGCACGCCGAGCGCGCTAGGAATGCAATGACATCACGGATGCGAAAAGTAAACGCCGTGCTCATTGGTAGCTAACAAAAAGTATACAAGCTGAGCGTGCTAGGGGCGAGATCTGAGCTAACAGTAAACGCACCCTAAGATGCTAGCGGAACGAGTGCTAAACACAGACTGATGGAGCATGCGCACAATCCTGGACTTTCCCTCTTCTCTCACTCGTTATGAAAAACGGCGCTCGTTAAGCGAAAACAACCAGAAAATTGGAAATAGTAATGTTATCGAACATTAATAATAATACAGTAGTACCCCGAACTTACGCGATAGGTGGGACCGAGCGATAACCGCGAAAGTCGAATTCGCGTAAGTCGGGGTATAATTTTTCAATGTGTGTAAAATCCAAGTCGGATGTATGTAAGCTAATAAATGTTCTCGTTAATCTTATCTCGTCTTTTGATTCGTTCATTGTTACAAGAAATCACCACATAGAGTCTCTCAAGTCTCCTTAGATATAACAAACACAGAAATAAATAACAAAATAAATTGTAGATATGTGTCGATTCCGCGCGACACGTCCGAACATGTAAGTTGAACAATAGTGTGGAGGGAATGAGTAATCAAGAGTTGCCTGGTGCTCAAACAAAAGACAAATCGACGAGATTTGAAAATCGCGTAACTCCGGGTTCGCGTAAGTCGGGGTAGCGTAAGTCGAGGTATCACTGTATTATAAAGCAATATGAATTTAAGAATGTAAAAATGTTTGAAATCTGTTCCTAACCATTTATTCAAAATTTTTATTTTTTACAATTTGTTTTGCTCGTTATGCAAAACACTCGTTATGCGATGTGCTCGTTAAGCGAGATTTTATTGTATTTTATATCATGTTTATCTTTAATATGAAATTGTGTGTTTCTATTTAAACATTATTGTGTTTATTAGATCTATATACGAAAATAACAAAATGAATAATATTTGTGTTATGAGTTGTGTGCGAAGAAAAAATTTTTTTCTCTCTGATTGTACCGATAAATGATAGGAGGTCCATGTACACTAAATACCTTCTAATAGAGAGGTTGAGGGTCGAAGTTTTAAACGCGAAAATGTGTACGTCGGACGTTCAGCGCCGTTTTCCTGTAAGCCTAGAAGTTTGACAATGGTGTTTGGATAGTCAGTGGAATCATGCTCGACATTTCAAACACCATTTTCAAACTTCTAAGCTTACAGGAAAACGGCGCTGAACGTCCGACGTACAAATTTTCGCGTTTAAAACTTCGACCCTCAACCTCGCTATTATTTCTACTTTTATTTTCATAAAAAATGAAAAATTTGTGTTTAGATTCAATAAACTCAATAACGTAGATTTATTATTATTTATTTATTTTATTTTAACTAAACGACACTATGGCCGTTGGCCTTTTCCAAGCAAGTGTCAAAAAATAAAATAAAATAAAATAAAATAAACAATTAACAAACGGAGAAAAGAACAGCAAAAAGAAAAGTGTATACACCACAACATTGTTCACCTTACTTAGTTGTTTTCTCTTGATATCATCGCAAAATAATTTATATAACAATGGCAATATATAATGCATACTGGTACTATAACTAAATTCCTTATTTGTTAAAAATAATTTTTTCTAGAACGCATTCAAATCGGTTACATTTCAGTTTTTAAATTAAAGTCAAAAGTGTTATTAATACTTATTTTTATTTTGATACACAAACTCATAAAACCAATACAGAAAACAGGAGGTCTTCTGATAATTGCCTTTTCTAAAATATATAAAAATGATGAAAAGTAAAACCAAATAAAGAATTTCAAAGTTGCTAATTAAAATTTGCGGTTCCATTCCCTGAACACTGGGAGTTCGGTCGTGGGTTCGCGCTGCTCTCGGACGGGCTGGACACGTGGAGTTTTCCGGATTTTCTCCACGTCTGTAACGCCTAAATAGGGGCCAGTTTTCCTTAATTAATTAAAACCTCCCGCGCTTACGTATGGCCAAGCAGACACGAAAGCTTCCTACGCATGTGTCTATCATCGTCTTCGGAGTCATAGCCTCAAGTGCTACATACTCCATATGAACAGAGGAGAATAGAATAGAATTAAAAATTCAGCATCTAGCAAAATTGTTACTTATTTTCTACGTCACAAAAGCAATTAGCAGATGTTTAATTTATTTGAACACAATTGATAAATTCGTTTTAATTCATTTGATTGAATAATATATATTTATTCATTTTTACAACGTTGTTCCAAGATATCTTCGCTTTAAGCCGATGGGTTTTGCCATAGAGTCTATTTTTTTCTTTTTACTCTTTCCGCCCTGTGGGCACTAAGAGGGCCTCTTATAGCAGGCCCATTATGGGTTCGGCCAGGCCCACAATGGGGCGACCTGGTGGTGAGGGACGGGGCCCGTCATATCCGAACGGACCACCCCAGAAAAATTCCTGGAGATTTCTTGACCCGTCTGAGATTCGTTCCCGGGTCCCCCAGAGCGGTAGGTTGCCATCTTGGCCACTCGGCCATCCGGCCGTCTAGAGTCTATATCCACCATGGGCAAATGCGGCTCTTTTTGAGTTACATGCGGCTCTTGCTTAAAGTGTTAATTTCTGCTTTTTATTATTATTTTTACAATTTTATTTCCACAATTTTGTCAAAATATGTTTCTTAAAAAAATTCAATATTTGTTTTATATAATATTTACAGTACAAAATAAAAAAACGTACATAACTGCGGCTCCCATGCATTTTGCAAAACCTACATTTCGGCTCCCACTGACCTCTTGCTTGCCCACCCCTGTCTATACTAATGAATGTAGGCTACGACCAGGGTCTTAGAATATACTGTAATCTAATATCTAAGACCTTGGGCCACGACCGAGAAAAGCTACGCTTTGTGAATACCCCTACAGATGGCGTTTGTGACATTTAAAAATGGCTGCTATTGGATTTGCAGACGAACTTGTTAGAGATTATTTGTTGTATCGCGGTTTTCTTGGTGCTCTCAAGGCTTTTGATGCCGAACTGAAAACGGATAAAGATCGTGGGTTTCGTGTAAGTCTGATAAAGTAAAAATTCAATTATATTAAATGTAGTAGAAATGATATTAACTCCACTTTATATAGTGTGATGTCATTGGTTCTGTTGGTAAAAATGAAAGTGATGTGTGTTGATGAAAACTATGATATTTGCAATAGATCGCTGGAGTATGGTTTATCAAATTGTCAAGAGAAATATTTCTTTTTTCTGAAATTGATGTGCATATGGAATATCCTCTTTCAGAAGATCGTTGATTATGGTAAAAAGAAATGACTTACTTATTAATTATATCAGTAAATTGGCTTAAATAACAAAAATTGTAAAATTGGGTGGAAACTTTTGGTCATTTAAGATATGTTTATTCAGTTAAATAGATTATTAGCAGTAAACTGGCCCTATTTACACATCATTTTGGTTTATACATTTGAAGTTTAATATCTATTAGTCAGCTGTGAAAGTTTAAGACTTATCTTTGCTCAAATCAAAGATAAGTCTTAAACTTTCACAGTATTTTTCTCCAAAATTAAAGAGGATTTTTTAAGATTCTATAGACATGCAATTATACAAGGAATAAAATTGTATATGCTTTAGATCAAAATGTAAAATTGAAAATTAACAGAATCAAAGCTTCTATAGTAATCATTTAAAATATAAAAGTAAAATAATTATAATTTTTATATAAATAAGTTGAAATTAGTGCTAATTATCATAAACAAATACATAATGACACATTGGAGGCTAAACATCGTGTAGTTACTATTGTTAGTAATAAAGAACAAAAAGAATATTTTTTATAACTCAATCAGTCACATACAACCTTGTACATCAGCAAAATGTTTATTAAACTAACATTTTCACAAGTTGTAGGTCAGGTTTGCTTTTTAAAAAACTTTAACAATTTAGAAAAATTTAATGAAAAATAGCAAAATAAACTTTGGAATGTCAAACAATGTTTAAAACACAAAATATAAAAAATAAATAGTTTAAAATGATGTGCAAAAAATACTAAAACAAAAACAACAAAAAAGAAACTGGTAACAAAAAACATTTTTTCTGCTGTACAATGTTGTATATAGTTGAGCAAGGTTCTTGACATCAGGAAATTTGAGGGATTGGATGAAATACATAAGTTGTATATGGTTGATTGAGTGATTTACTGAAGCAGTTATTTTATGAATTATCTTTTTATAATGAATTATTGCAAATTGACTATTTCATAATTACTTTTCAAATTCATTTATTGTCTTAAGAAGTATTTGATTTTACTCATTGTTTTAGAATTGAATCTTATGTTAAGTCTGAAGAAGCATATTAAATTTTGACAAAAACAATTGTGTTCATATTAAACATTTTTTTAAAACTTTTATAATATTGTTATTATATTAATTTTATTATAATTTTATAGTACAACATTGGGACAGATGATCAGTTTCCAACGAGAATTCAGTAAAGTATATCATAATAAAAGGCAAACATATTGTTTATTTGACACTTGAGATGTAAAATGATCAGAGAAATAACATTTACACATGTTCACACATGTCTACTGAAAATTGTTTATTACAGTTGGCAAAAATATGTGGATGGAACCATTAGATTTATTGAATGATATTTGAATGGGAATTCAAATAATAAATTGTAATGAAGAGTATTAATTATTCATTTATATCATTAAGTTACACAATTTGTTCGGAAGCAATTGTTTTTATTTCTGTAACTTGTGGTTTATTTATTATAATACAGATAAAATTGAATTTTTTTTTATTTATTTATTTTTTGTTTATCTCAGTTTAAATTTAATACTAACTTTTTTCATGGGTTTGTAGTTTGTTTTGATCATTCTATCATTCTATAGATTTATTTATTTTTTATAATTGTATTAACGTCACTATTATTTTCAAACTAGATGTGCTTTCCAGCAGAACATTAGAGCTGCAGAAGCAACCTACTTTCAGTTAACTTTGATCCACTGTATCATATAAACTAATGCAAATTGACACATCTATATATAAGTTCAAAATTGTTTATAATTACTTTCTGTATCAGTACTGATACAGAATGTAAATTACATATATCTACATACTGATACAGAATGTAAATTGCATATATCTACTCAAAAATTTCATAGTCATATGTAATTTTTGAGTACCCTGTACATTGAGTATTTTTACTTCTTATCTTCATTATTTTTTACCTTAAGAATTTATATTATAGTATTATTGCATATGATAATATAGTTAAAAATTTGTCTGTATGTGAATAATTTCTGCTTCAAGAACTTATGAAATATAAATATTCTTGAATTAGTAAAGCATATGAACAATTTATGCATATAATTATTAAACAAATAAGTAATAATACAATTTACAAAATTTTTTACTAGAAAAAAACTAGGCCTATTATATGATTTCACAAGCAGTCAATTTTTTAACTTTTTATTAAAGAAAAAAAATTAAATTGAAAAATTTTATTTGATATTATGTAACAGCTACAGTAATGCTTTCAAGTAGTTTCAATTTATTTTTACAGGATTAATGTATATAATTTTAAATGTAAAAAACATATGGACAGTATGTAACTAATAAAGATTTTAAAAATCCATTATATGAATAAAGTACAAATTACATTTCTAAAGAGTAAATTTTGTATAAAGATGTAATATATAAAATAGTTGGAAAAATTATATTTTGTTTTCTCTCTTCCATAAAAAATAATATAAAACTTTTTAAAAATTAATTATTTGTAATTTATTTAGGCAGATAGAATAGTGGAACATCTTACTTCTTGTATCAGTAGCCTGGACCTGAGTGCCTTGCGAGAAGCATGGAGTCACTTAGATTTAAGAATTTTCTCAAGACTTGAACATTCATTCCTTTCCTCAGCCAAAAAATTGGAAACTGCATTGTTAAGAATGTATGTAGTAACTTGCATCACAAGTGGTCGGCAGGATAAACTCAGAGAGTTTTTTGAAAAAATGACTCCAGAACTTCAAGGGCAAGCAGAATGGAAAGATTGGTTTGGTAAATTATTATAAATAAGAATTTTATTTGTATATCTTTATTTAACACATATTTATGATATAATGTGTAATACCTTTTATTAATTTGTTTTTATATTAACAACATTGTAATAAGTAATTTACTATTGATTTGTTATTAATACAGCATTATTGTTTTTGAAGTCTCCAGAAGATAATCCAACATTCCAGTTATATTTTACTCGTCAATGGCAGGATACAATGTTAGTTTCTTTGCAGAATTTTCTCAGTGTGATCTTTCAAAGCATGAGTATGTGTTTTTTGTAAATATATATTACTAATAATATTGTACTGTAGTTTGAAAGTTAATTTTTAAAGTCTAATATCAATTAAAATATTCTGATTTATTAAATATTGGGCCAAGCAGCTAAAGCATATGCCAGTCACTCTGAGAGACCCAATTTCAAGTATTGATTAAATTCTCAAATTTTTCCTGGATATGTCATGCTCTCTCTCACCATCTAGCAATTATGTTGTGAATGTAGCCAAGTAATTGATGGGAATAAAAAATTTATTCCCATCAATAAAAAATTTATAGAGCACAAATAATTTATTGTAATAGAATAGATGACATTGGAATTTATAAACAATCGCTGAACTTACTAAATTATTTTTCATGAATTTAATTTAACGTTAATTAAAATTGAAGTGAAATTTGAACGGAAACTTTTACAAACCAATTGGATATTTTACCAATTATGTTATCCAAATTCTTTTGAGACAAATTCTTTTATCTGTGTTTATACAGTACTCTGAAAGTTTTTCCATTAATCCTAGTCTCCAGTGTGCACTGAAATATTAATCTTAGGGAGCCAAGTTGAATGAAAAAAATTTTTAATGCAAATTCAATGAAATCCCACCTTATATGACTGCTGATTCACAAGTAATATAGAAGTAGAACACACAACACAATATAAATAAAACATAAATTTTAATAAAGAGAATATTTTTGGAAATTTATTACTGTTTCTTTTTTTTTCTTTGGGGTTGCCAGGACCCTTCTAGATGCACCACTGCTAGGCTCACAAATATTTTAAGTATTTTATCATTTTACAGTGATAGATTTAAAATAAAAATAAGCAGCATAAATTAGTTCTGAAGATTTCTAATAAGCCATTTGATTAAATAAATTTTAATTTTTTCAAAATGAAAGTTGTTATATAACAATTATAACTAATATAACTTATCATTTTTGTTTGATAGTAAGACCATACAGATTTTTTCATTTTAAACTAATAAACTCATTTAGAGTATTTTATTTTAAATTTAATGCAAAAATAAGGCTTTTCATTCTGAAATTACTGTAATCATTGTTCACTTTCATAATATTCTAAGAAACTTTTGTAATCATTGCAAATAAAATACATACTTTGATGCATTGTAAACACACAATAGTATATTAGCATATACCTTGCATTGTTATAATGCACTAGAATTAATTTACAATTCAAGTATCAACTTTCCAAATAGGTTATTAAATGTCTGTGTTGAACAGTTTTGGTCTCTGGGGCAAACCTCATACCTGGAGCTCCTAATTCAACATTAATTACAAAAGAATTCTATGGGCTCTTTTTGGCACTCTTGAGATAAGTGGTCTGGGTGAGCGCACACCTTTGTCCCCTTAGTTACACCACTGAATTGTTAATATTCTTGTAGCAAATATAAAACAGTTTTAAATGATACTATATAGACTTATAAATTCATTACAATATAATTTTTATAATTATTTAATATTATTTGTGGACTAAACTCCTGATTAAAATGAACTTTTTCATAGGAAGAAAAGCAGTTTTAATAGACAGGTTTCAAAATTAGAAATTATGATCTTATACTGTTAAGTATGAAGATAAAAATGAGAGTTAAGCATAAATCTGTAATTTTCAAATGATAAAAGTCTTAAAAAAATATCTTGTAAGACTAACATTACAGGAGGAATGATATGTTAAATTTTCTTACAATGTCTTGTATAATTCACATAAAATTCAACTAAATACAATAAACAAATTTAATAACTCTACTTAATTGGATGTTGTTGCTTTACAGAACACCAGTAACAATCTTTGTAAATCTATTAGGTTGTTCGGAAAGTAATTTCATTTTTTTTTACCACTAGACAGACTAGTCGTATTTTTCCCACCATTTTTATTTTAAACCGTATTATCATTATATATTCTGACAGCCAGCATTTTAAGGCTTATTTGTAAAAAATTTTGTTTGATTCTGTGCAATTGTTTATTTTTTGTATCCCATCAAATATGGAAGATTGAAAGCAGCATTTTTGGCATATATTGCTCTTTTATTACCAAAAAGGTAAGAATACTGTTTAAGTGAGAAAAAAAAACTGCTAGACATGTATGGGGAAGATGTATTGACAGAATGACAGTGCTAAAACTGGTTTACAAAATTTTGTTCTGGCAATTTCAATATTGAAGATGCACCACGTTCTGGATGGCCAGTTGAAGCCAATGAAAACAAAATAAAAGGTACTGATTGAAGCAAACTGCCGAATAACAACACGTGAAATCACTAAGAGATAAAATTTGTCAAATTGAACTGTTTATGATTACTTGAAACAAATTGGTTTCATTTCACAGCTTGATATATGAGTTCCACATGTTCTTAAGGAGAGATGCTATCTTTGGTGGATTTTAAGGAAATTTTTTTTTGGAGCTTTTACCAGACAATTTAACAATTGATTTGAAAGTGTACTGCCATCGAGTAAACAAATTGAGTAATATTATCAAACAGAAAAGGCAGCCAGAGTTGATTAACAAAACAGGTGTAGTGTTTTATCACGATGATGTCAAATTGTCAGAAACTGTTATAACTTAGATGGGATGTGCTATCACACCAACCATACTCTCCAGATTGAGCACACTCAGATTATTACTTGTTGCGGTCTATACAATTTTTTTTAACTGTAATACATTTACTTGAAATGGCAATGTCAAAAATCACTTGGATCAGTTTTCTGTAAACAATGATCAAAACTTTTATGAATGTGAAATCATGCTACTACCAGAAATGATGACAACAAATATTTGACCAAAATGGTCAATAAATAATTCAACAAAATATTTATTTATTATAAAAATATTATGTTTTTTTCCATGGAAAAAAATGAAATTACTTTTCGAACAACCCAATAGTAATGAATTTAATAAAATTTTCAGAAAACTTTATACACACATTTTTGATCACAACTGGATCTTCTTCAGGTTTATCAACATTCTAAAATTAAAATGCATTGAAGAACAAGATATAAATTTTAAAAAAAATTACATAACTTTAAAACTTGACAAACAAAGTAAAAATATTATGCAAATAAAGAGATGTTTGATAACTTATTTTTAAATAAAATTATCAAGCATGTCTTTGTTTGTGTAATATTTTTACTTTATTTGTCGCATTTAAAAATTGTTATCTAATATTTTAAAAATTTATATATCTTGTTTTTCAATGTGTTCTGATTTTGGAACAAAGAAGATCCAGTTGTGATCAAAAATGTTTGTCTAAAGTTTTTCAAAAATGTTTTTAAATTCATTACTCAATTTATGAAGGTTGTTAGTGGTGTCTGTGAAGTAATTATATATTTATATATTGTTATACATTATTTGATTATTCTTATGTCTTATGATTATTTGTTATTTAGTATATTGTATAGATATACAACATAATAGATAATATGTAGATTTTATGGAAAAGAACTAGCACAGAATATTTGGATCATAGAACTTGCAAGATATAAAATTTGTGAAAATTGTGGATTGAGATCATTTTCTGTCATTATTTTTCCAGATGTTTCAAAATTAACTAAATGTTAAAAATTGACAAAATTATTTTACATGACTAACTATTTAACTTTTTGTAAAAATAAAAATATTTTCATCTACAACACTACACTCAGCAAAGACTTAATTAATAAACACACTTCACCAAGCCTCTTAATTTGCTGAGATAATTTATTTCACTACAAACTGACATTTTCAACCTATTCTATTCTTGAATAAGTTGAAAACATTCATTTGTAGTGAAATAAATTATCTCAGCAAATTAAGAGGCTTGGTGAAGAGTATTTATTAAAATTTTTTCTTTCTCAATTGTTGCAGAATTATTTCTCAGAAAGAAAATGTAAAATAATATGTAATGTTTTTTTTAATGTTTGAAAATAATTTTTATATTCTTATATTCTACTTGTACTTCTACATTTCATGCAAAGGACAATTTACTTTGTATTTAAACTGTACAACATTCTGTTGTATATTTTCAAGAATAGTACAAATTTTATAAAATTTCTATTATTTCATTATTCATTTTATTGATATTAAAATATAAATCAATTTATTATAGAAGTATTTACAACATTAAAATTATGTATTTTTACAGTGTTGCCTACATTGTTAAGTTATGAAGAAGAACTCTTGCGTCTCAGTTCCCTCCAGGAAGAAAATGAAAATCTTCATCAAAAGGTTAGCTATAATAATTAACATTTATAAAAGTTATTTTTTGATATTTTAAAGAGTATCTTTGAATTAAGTTAATTTTTTTATTTTACAAAAACATCATTAAATCATTCCATATTAGAATAAAACAGGATGCTCTTGAATAAAATGAAGCCTTAGAATTTTGTTTTATTTGAAAAAGTGTATATTGTTCAAATTAATGTTTTAAAAATCATCTTTGAAAGTAGTTATTTTAAATAAAAAATTAAACATTTTTAATGATTTCAAATCAAAATCAAATCCTTGTTAAGTTATTTATAATAAAAAATCACAGGATTTAAAACCATAAATATGTAAAAAGAAATTACTAATAGGACTACAGTTATTTAATCAGTGTAATAGTTACACTGGGTCAAAGAAGTTTACAATAAGTGTTTATTGATTGTGTGATGAATTAAAAATATGCTGTTAAGACTACAATGCTAACAAATTTTTATTGTGTTATTTTCACTTTATGCTACAAGTACAGTACATGTACATATTTTTAGTATTAATTAAATATAGAAAAATAATTTTAATATTTGAAATATGTGAACAGTTTGCAATGCAAAACAATTTGCAAATGCCATTAGAAAAATTTTTGTGAACTGTAAATTAATAATGACTGTAGGCTTCTTTGGCTACAATAACTGCCTTTAATCTATATAGAACACTTTAACTAGTTTTTGTAGTGTTACAGAGGCATTTTTTCCCATTGTAACCTTAGTGCCATTTGAAAATCATTTTTGTTTTTCCACGATTTTGCAGGAATATTCATATCCATATATTCCATAAACACTCAATCAATCTCAAATCAGGAGAATTTATGGGCCATTCCATCACCATAATTTTTTTGATAAAAAGTCTTTAGCAACATTGGATGTATGTTTTAGATTATTGTCTTTCTGAAAAATATAACATTTTCAAAGACCCGTTTTGGATGTGGATTGAAATAAATTGGCATCTAGTATATATCTATAAGCAACAGCATTTATTGTAGAGATGATAAATTTAAAATAGCTAAAAAAACTACTGTAAGAGAAGTAGCTCCACTTCTTTTCATAAGTCAGTGTCAGGTTTAAGAAGAAGATTTGAACTTCAATAGGTTAAAGTTGTGCTGAAAAAGTACTAAAAAACAACATGTTAAATGTTGGTTTTTAAGTTCCACATCATTACAGAGACTCTACCACTTTTTACTGTGGGATTTAAATAACATGTTTTCAAGGCTGGTCCTACTGGTAACACTCAAGTTTTTCTTCTTTGTCCAAATAATTCACATTTTGATTCATCAGACTAAATAATCAATTTCTAAAATTCCAATCTTTTATTGACATCTTTCTCAGCAAACTTCAATTTCTCATTTGTATGATTAGGAGTCAATCAATTTCTGATTATTTGAATTGAATGATCTTTTTTTTCATGGCCAAACACATCATATTTAATTTCTCTTTCAGTTTTCTTAGCATCTTCATTTGCTTGCTCTTACAATCAAACCTGCCTTCTTAAGTAGTTGTCATCTGCTTTCTTCATCTCATCTTTAATTATCAACAAATCCACTTTCTTGAATTTCTTTACAATTTTTAAAACTCCTTCAGCAGATAAATTATGTTGTTTAGCAACTGCACAAAATGATTGCAATTGTTCAAAACTTTTCACAACTTTCATTCTCTGGACAAGAGATAATTCATTCTGGGGAGTCATTGTTACTTTACACAATCTCTAATGATGTTTTACATATATACTATAGTTTACATATGTGAGATTAGCAGAGGGTCACGGGTAAATTCAAATGACCACTTATCCTGCACTAGATCGCGAGATTCAATCTCCTTGTCAGTGGATGACTTCCAAAGATTTTAATATATACTAGGAGCTTGTGAGATCCCCTGGAAGTTGTTTTCCTGACACCAGTTAATCTATTTAATACGTAGATTAACATGCATAGATAAGGAATTTCGAGTGGAAGGGACGTAAGTACATGGAGTGAACATAGGTGTGGATTTCAATCATTAAAGAGACCATATTTTTAAAATAACAGAACTAAATATTTAATGAAACAAAATATAACTATGATTACAAATACAAAGCTTCCTAACATGTGAGAGAGAGAGATTACAAATGTTTGAAGGGTATACTACCTTACAGGTTCTCAAATATCTTGTCTTTGATGATGTCTCATCTTAGGGATTTCAAGCAAAGATCGTTGTCATCTTTGTAGATAAGAACATTGACGACACTTAGGTAATGAGAGTTTTTCTTATAGAGACAATGACAGACTCTTCTAGGGTTCGAGGTTTTGGCTCTGTATTTTCTACTGGAATCTTATTACATCAGGAAATTTTGGCTATGGCTCCTGACTATGGGCATTGGCTGTAGGAGACTCAACTGGCATACGTCCTCTTACATCAAGAGATTTTGGTGCACTCTGAATCTGGATGTGGTCTTGGAGACCCACATGGAATATGAGAGATTTTGGCGCACTCCCCGAACAATGGGAAAGAATCTCATTTTTCGTTGATCTCATCCACTTAGTGTGTAGAATTTTTCCACATGAACATGATGAGTGGAGAAATTCAGAGGGGTTGACTGTCAGTTTGGTGATTAAATTTTTAAAGATAAGGGAAAAAGAAAAAGGATGTTCAATTTCCGTTGGTGAGGAAGTTTGGGTTAACGGCTTCCCTTTTTCTTGTGAAAATAAAGTTTTTCTTTCAAAACTAAAATATTACTTTTGATATTCTTATTTTGGTTAAAATTGATTTAAATAAAAAGGAGAGTATTCAAATTCTGACACATGTCAATGTAGACACAATATTCTGTTGTTTTTTTGTTTTTAGTTTTTTGGAGTGTCAACAAAGTTTTTTGGTTTGTAATGTTTTTTCAATTAGAAAAATTCAAAAAAGTTAAAAAATATAAAATGGCAAATAAAAACATAAATCTGTACATGTACTCTTAGTGTAAAGTGTAAATTATATAATAAAAATTTGTTAGCATTGTAGTCTTAACAGCACATTTTTAATTCATCACACATTCAATAAACACCTACTGTCAACTTAAGTTTTTGACCAAGTGCATTAATTATCTGTTATAATTAGACTTATGGTTTAATAACAAAGTACTTCACAGATTAAATACTTTGAGAAATATTTTTTAGCAATAAAGCAGCAATACCCTAGGAAACAATTTATTAATTTTTGCCATCAATTAAGGCAAGCTATTATTATTTTTAAAAAATAATCTCCATTTTTCTTAAGAAGCAAAATTTTCTCAAGCAGGACATCTGACAATCTGTTATGCCTTGAATTTCAATTAATCCTGCAATACTGAATAATTTTTTTATTGGAGTAAAAGATGGAATTTTATGTTAGATCTTATTTTTTATAAGATCTAACATAAAATTCTATCTTTTACTCCAATATAGCNGGGTTCGCTAACAGAAAATTTTTCCTTAACAATTATTTTTGCTCAAATGATGCATTAGCAACATTAGCGCAAAAACTGACCTTAAGATACCCATATAAATAAAAAAAATATATATTACTGATGATAAAACTGACATAACTACACGGTAAGTCACAAACACCGACAAACAAAATAGAAGTTTTGGTTAGAAATAAATAAAATATTTTTTCTTGCGATATATCTAATAATAGACATATGTCATTGTCTCTCGAAATACAATATCTTTTTTATTTCGCTGTCGATAGCCCGACATGTGTTCCGCAGCCATCTTCTATTTTCTTGCGTGCGCTGGATTGTGGGATCTCTCTTATGACTGGATCTCGTTTCGAGAACTCTCTTAAGTCGATTGCGATTGAACTTTCTTTAGTAGTATTACAGAGTATAATACGTATATATTTTTATTATAATACAGGCATACCTCGACTTACGTCGTTTCGAGTTACGTCGTTCCCGATTATACGTCGCTTGTTAAAAAAGTATATGGAAAAATAAAAATCAAGTTTAAGTCATTTTATTTGACTTTACGTCTGTCCGCCACAAATATTGAAGTCGTAATATCACTAGATAAACGTTTAAAGCACATAAAATCATATTAAAATATATACAAGTATGTACTGTATTTACAGTACACGCATTCGTAAATTTAGATTATTTTTTTTGTACTATATTAAAAACTAAAATTTATTTGTTTGTAAGCTTAAAATAGATTTTTATTAACCATATATTATTTAAAATGCTTTCCTAGTGATAAGTAGATTCGGAGACAGGTAAATTCGACTTACGTCGTTTTTCGACTTACGTCGTTTTCCTGGAACCAATTACCAACGTAAGGCGAGGTATACCTGTATTTAAATATTTAATATATTTTTTAAAAGAAACAAAACTACTGAGAAATGTTACATGTGTTTAAGAAGGTTCGGAAAACTTTGAAAATATTAACAACGGGTTCGGCCAGAATATCACCACTGTATATATATATATATATATATATTAATTATCAGCTATATTGTCTGTTTGAATACTCTGCATTGAGAAGCTTGAGAATTAAGATAATTGTTTGCTTTACTATCATCTCTAGCACTTTTTTTTAAAATTTTAATGTTAACTTTTATGCTGTGTCATGAAAGAAATGAAATGATTTAAAATTAAAATTATAAATCTTTGGGTAATATTGATTTTAAATTAAACTATACATTTCTAAATTCAACATTTATAAAAGTGGTGAGTTCTTCATTGAGTCCTTCCATTGAATAATCTGATGTCATATTTTGTAGAAAAAAGAAATACTTGCACAATCATTCAGTTGCATGTTTTACCATATGCATATCTTTCATTAATCTGTCAGCTATTACAGTATCTACAGCAAGAGTGAACTGATAGTTCCTACAGACAAAACTGTTTGATTGAATCCACCATGTTGGTTTGTTGAATTCTCACCTATCTGTTAAACTGTTGAGACCATTGAGCTCTATGGTAAACTATGCTGACATCATGGCCTCAATGGAGAACTCAACAGTCCATATATAAATGTCATTTTCTTATCATTGAGTCAATCATTGAATATAGAAATACTGATAATTATAAATCACTGACAGATTTTAATTTGTGAATTTTAATTGTATGACTTAAATTCACACCCATCTTTACTCCAAATATCTATTTACAACTCTCACTTTTATACCACAAAATCAATAATACATTATAACCTTCAAATTTGCAGAGTTAAGTTATGCAAAATTGTTGCAAATATGGCCAATTTAAAAGAAAGGAATAATATATTAAAAAAATAAAGCTAGAGGATTGGTAAAATATATAGTATTAGAAAACAAATCTGCATTTTTAAATCTTTGTTTTCTTAATATTTTCTATATAGATTATTTTTGAAGGAAGTGTGAACAACCACAGTTGCTTAATTTTCTCTTGCAAATGATTTAGCACTTTAATTTTGTTTCTAAGGGACATCACCTTCTTTCATCTATTCGTAAAGTATCAAACAACTAGTGTTTTGTTAGGATGACACAACATTTACAATCCACATAAGTGCACATGCTAAAATAATGCAAGAAACTGTGGGATACTATCAAATCCGCTAATCCAGTGTAGAAGTCATTGAATTGCAGAAGAATACATTAAAAAAATTGTCATTTCATTTTCTCAAATTAAAAAAATAGTTCATCTCTGTTCATTATGTTTATTGTTTTTCTTAATCCTTCTTTGAATAAGTAAATGTCAGGTTTACAAATGTGAAAAATAGTTGCAAATACCTAGCCAAAACTATATGAAATGCATGAATGAAGAATGTGTGAATATGGAGATTCTGTTACATTAAATTATTGCATCACAAAAAATTCAACTATCTGTTTCAAATGATTAAACACTTACTAAACTTATGTAGCTAATTTATCTATACTATATAAAATCATTTATGCATTTTCTCTTATGAAATTTTTTAAATAAATAAGCTTGTTAATTTCTATATTTTCTTAAACACTAAAAAAGTTGGAAAATTATTCAAAAAAAGAAATATGCATAATGTAATTTTATAAAAAAATCTTCTTGATTTGTTGAATTGAAATGTCTGTGATGCTGTTTGTCTGTGTTCTTAAAATCATAGCAATATTTTTTTATTAAATTAATTATATTTGAATTCATTTCAGATTGGTACTTTTGAAAAACAGGAAGGACAAAAGCAGATTGATAGTTCCATTAATAATTTTCATGAAACTCCAGCACCTACTGAATTAATGGATGATTTTTATGTGATTGCACAGTAAGTAATGTATTTTTTTTTAACAATTTAAATATCAAATATCATAAGACTTTTAAAATTCTATCATAGCATCTTGTACTAAATGATTATAATTTAAACTATACTTGTTCAGGACTGTACAATGAAATTGAAAATGGAAACTCAATAAAATTTGAGAGTCAACAAATTGTTTGGACGATAATTACACAACTTTAAAACTTTAAATTCCAATAAATAACTTTAATAGACAGATTTAAGGTTCTTAAAGGTGTGTAATTATCATTTATACATATCCAGTTTTGAGTAGAAGTTAAAACACATTTAAATTGTTTAGAAAAAATTATTGCAAAAAACATTTAGAAAAAATATTGTGCTAGGATAATGCCAATCCTATCAGTTTGACATTTAAAATTGAACAAATGAATCATAAACCTTAACAAATGAAATGTTAACTAATGTTTTTCTATATGAGATCAGAAAGATTTTCTGTAATGTCAATGAATAGGCAGTGTAATTTAGGGACCAAATGAAAATTTCTTTTATAAATGTTTTTGGTTATAATCTATTGTTCATGTGTAAAGTTTACAAATAGAATAGAATGAATTTGAATAATTTTTTAAAATGAAAATTCTTTAGAGCAAAAATTTTGATGAAATAATTGAAATGAACATTATTTATAAACTGGAATAATTTTTAATAAAGTTAAAGTAATTTCACTTATTAGGAGAATATTTACATTTTTAAAATATTTTTTGAGAAAAAAAAAGAAAAGTTAAAAATATTGCAAAATCATATCCATATTTATTGAGATTGCATGCATAATACATGTTATAACATTGTATTAAACAACTAAAAATGTATGTTTGTTCTGAAATCCTAGTTGAGGCAGTAAGCTTTATTTCTCTAATTAAAAGTAGTTTATTTAAAGAACTTCAGTCAAATATTTTTAATGCAAACATCTTAGCAGAATTGTTGTTTATAATGATGCCTTTAGACATATGATGATCATTCTTGATTATTGTATTTATAGATCTATTATAATTGAAAATATTTTAAGAAATGTTTTAACTCAAGTGGTTAGAAACATTTTATTTTTAGCCACTGATTTCAGCTGTCTGTGTATTTAGATTATACTGTTATGGTGCATTTGTGGATTTTAATGGTTTTTTTTTTCTATTGTTAAATCTCAAAATTTTTTCTGTATTGTCAGTCATGTTTGCTAAAAGCACATGAATTGTCAATTATGTTGTTCTCAATGTTACTGCTATTTAAATGGATTAGAAATTGAAAGTGTAAAATAGTAAGTTTATTAGCAGAGCTTTACATATTGGAAGTAATAAGTTTTTGTATACCATTAAATTATGTTTATTATAGTATATAGCAGGGGTGGCCAACCTGCGGCTCGCGAGCCACATACGGCTCTTTGAAGGATTATTTGTGGCTCTCGATAAATGTACCCGAGTTCCCTTTTCATTTTTGTGTTATTACATTTTAAAAAATTATTATCGTTCCGTATGGTTTCAAAATGTCTTTTAAATTACTAACAACAAATATGAAAGATTAAGTGCAACGTTGTAACAAATTTCATTTCCGTCCAAGTTAAGAATGATATGACTCATGGAAAACTGCGCGAACAAACATAAACAGTGGCGTAATCGTCCATTATCGACCGACTCCAGACCAATTTTGAATTTGTAAACTGTCATTGCAATGGACAGCTGACATTGTCCTCTGGAAGAAACAATTTGTATCACTCTTGCTATGGATATAATTTGTAATCTGAAATTTTTTGCATACCTTTTTAATACGTATTTAATTGCGGCTCGTGAAAAATTTCAAATTTTGAAAAATGGCTCGGACTATCAAGGAGCTTGGCCACCCTGAGTATATAGTATAGTATCCAATAAGACTATCAACAAGGAGTATTATTGTAATAAGTGTTGCTTTCAGAATAATCAAAACTTGCTTGAAATTTTGTCTCAGTGAGAGTTGTATTGCTGAAATGTCATTCTGTCCATAGCAAAATGATCTGTCATTCAAGTAACTAAATAACAACTCCATGATAAATAACTATAAATAATCATCATCAACTTTTATCAAAAAGTTAGTTAGTTAATAAAATATATAAATCAGTTTCTTATAAAGGTTAATTATTTGTAAATTCATTATTTTTCATAATTGCAAATTTTAAATTTGTGATTCATTGTATAATAGATCACGTTGTGTAATAGATCACAAATTTAATAATATCACGATGATCCTTCAGTATTGCTTACAGTATTGTATATACAGTATTTAGATTATATCATTACCAATGGCAGTGAGTTTTGAATTAAATTCTTTCACATGAACAAATGATCAAATATTTGGTAATTTTGCCTCTGTGGAAGTATGTATTTCAAATATTTGTTAAGTTTCCATCTTGTTCAATTTTGTTGTTGAAGTAATTATCCTCTATATTCATAAATAATATCTACACTAGGTATTCTGAACAGGATGGAAATAAAAGTACAGTAAAAGTGTGTAGTTTCAGTATAGGACAAGTGTTGCCAGATCATTGAAAATGCCAGATTACTGGCTGTATTTGTATTTTCACAAAATTCCAGGCGTGATCAGAACATTACAGACATTGCTGCATTGCTGTACATTTAGTACTAGTGCATGCTGATTTTGCTTTCAACTTGTTTAGATATTTTCTTTAATCAGGCTGAAGATAATACAATGCATGACTATACTGTATTAAGATTGATTGAAAAAACCTGAAAAAATGTTAATGAACACATTATTTCACAAAAAATATTCACAATGCATATAATATTGATTTTCTAAACATGTACTGCATACATATGATTCACAAAAGTTATACATTCATGGAATACTAGTATGCCTGATTATAATCACACATTTCAGATCAGCTATTTTTTGTCTGTATTACCAGATGTTCCAGATTATCAAGTGTCAGATTAACAAACTTCTATGTAAAGAGAGTAACTTTTTCTTATTATAATAGATTTCATTTTAAATTAACTTTTAAGTAATAAGAACAGAATATAGTAAAGAAAACTATTGAAGATAAATAAATAAAATTATGTTAAATGTATTAAATCAGTGATAAAAATTGGAAATTTAATGAAGTTATAGAATATGGATAGCATATTAATAAAAATTATTATTGTGATCTCAGAACTTAGGATTACAATAATTGTATGTATTCCATTAAGAATGATATATAGCAAGCTTTCTATCATGTTATATATCTTGATTAAAATGTATTTTTATTATTTTTAATTATCCTATAGTTATATGTATAAAATATCATCCTTAGTGTTAGTAAATATATGAAAAGCAAAAGAAATAATTATCCATCTGCAAACATTTTATTGCTTTGATTATAAACACTACTTGCAAAAGAAATTCATGTAAACTTTATAAAATTTTTATAGTATTAAAAAATATACATACAGCAATTATTTAATATCTGACTTTACTGATAAACACAGTTTATCATAATTTCTTTTGACATATCAATATTAAATATAATTAGCAATCTTCTAAGCTAATCAAAGTTAATCTAAATTCATTGTTGTTTTAATCTGATTTTATATAAAACTCTACTTCCTTTGATTTCTATCAAATAATATTTAGAAAGCAATAGCTCATTCAGTTTATTACAAGTACAGTAAGATCCCGCTAAATGTGGGGATGTGTTCCTAGACAACAAACTGCTAAGAGAAATAGCGTTAAATGAGGTCATTTTAACGTAGAGTAAATAGGGATAGGGGAACATGCAACCAAAAATAAACAAATTTTACTGTAATTTTAAGTTATTTTTATATTAATTTGTATAATAATATATGCTAAGTAACACATAAACATATGCACACAGAAATGTAAAGTTCATTTTTTGTGATAAAGGTCATAACTTTTCTGAAATTCTTGTTCTTTTGCAATAGAGGCGTGAAGTTTTATTTGTTGCTTTTTTCTTTCCTTAAGCAAATGTCGGTAGCAGAAGATTGCATCCAAAATGCCTCATTTTGCTTTTGCATTCCTTTCAAAATCTGGATCATTCACTACAATTTGATCAATGATTTCGATTATCTTACCAAACTTTTACTAAGGAAATCTATAGAGAAATTTTTTGGGTTCTTTGTTTTCAGAATATCTATTTTGCAGTTACACGTGGATTCCATGTTCTGCCAGTTCTTGAAGGTCATCATTGGTAAGGCTCTAACCAGAAACCTGCTGTAACTCCTCAATATCCTGCTTGTCTATCTCCTAGTCTTACTATATCGATTAGGTTGAGTTTGGTCAACCTAACGATACACCGATAGGCTCTTTTTGTTGAGAATTCTTGGATACCTTCTTCCACAATTTGTTTGTGAATTTATCAGTTAATTCTTGCCAAGTGAAGTTGATATTTCCTATGGCATCCATGATGTTATATTTTTTCCAAAATTGCATCAAACAAACATAGATTTAAAGAAATTACACCTTTTTGCCATCTTTTGCTAATTGGTTTGTGTTTGCAAATACAGTAATACCTCTACTTACGCTACTCTGACTTATGTGAACCCAGAGTTATATGATTTTCAAATCTCGTCGATTAGTCTTTTGTTTGAGTGCCATGAAACTCTTGATTACTCACTCACCCCACACTATTGTTCGGCTTACATGTTTGGACATGTCGCGCGGAATTGACATATAGCTACAATTTATTTTGTGTTATTTATTTCTGTGTTTGTTATATCTATGGAGACTTGAGATACTCTATTATGTCATCTAAATGAAGTAGAACTGATTCTTCTGCATCAAACAAGAAAAGAAAAACTTTATCTTTGGAATGTAAAGTTAACATTAACTTTACTAGACTTCGATACAAAAGTGAAAATTTGTGAATTGGCAAAGAAGTTTGATCTACCAGAATCAACGGTCAGAACAACTATAAAAGGTAAAGAAAAAGTTCTCAAAGCTGTAAAAAATGCTCAATCTTTAAATTCAAGCATCATTCATAAACGTCACAGTATTATCCCTGAGATGGAAACAATGTTAAAATTATGGTGTGATAATCAAGTAAATGTGAAAAATTGTATAATAATATAATTTGTTATACATATATATTATCTAAGATTTTATTAAACATTTTTTTTTAAATTATTGTTTTCTTTAGTCTCCAGACCCAATTAAAAGTTATTTGTATGTATTTATATGCGAAATTATACCCAACTTACGCGGTTATCACTTGGTCCGACCTATTGCATAAGTTGGAGGTATTACTGTAATCATATTATATACGAATCAATGAAATGCCATGATAATTTAAATTGGCATAAATTTTGAGCTTTTTTTTAAGGCTTCAAGTGGACCGTGTTATATCGAATTAGTGTTAAGCAGGGTCTTACTGTAATTTTATTTCTCTATATGCTGTGTCAATAACATTAACTTGAATATAAATTTTAAGGATGATCTGAAGCCTATGTGTCCTTACATTGTCTAACCATACAGATGACTATAAATGAACTTTATGTAACTCCTAGAGAAGTTATTACTCAGATATAAATTTTAAGTTAAATTTGATTGTTTTGAGTTGTTCTTATTATTTTGATTTACAGTAGAACCCCTCTAATCCGTCACCTTTGGGACTGGGGGTATGGTCGGAATGCAAAAAAGGTCGGATTATCAGAAAAAAAGTAAAATAAACAATCTTCCCCTTTGTCCAGTCTTTGTAGCACTGCTAATTTTTCATTTAATGAAAGAGTAACGTGTTTACGTTTCACTCCTGACATATTGAAAACACACACAAAACTGTACATATACACAAAACGTAAAACATATACTGTAACGAACACAGAAAAATGCCACGGATGGTGAGTAACCGACGAGTAGGGACAAGTTTCTCGACTCCGACCACGGTCGGATTAACCGGAGTGACGGACTAGCCGAGGGCGGACTAGAGGGGTTCTACTGTAATAATAATATAATATTATCATAATTTGAAAATTAGTTAAAATTTTTATTAACTAGTTTTATTTCTTTATTTCTAACTTGATGTTTTAAAGTTTTTTTTCCATTATATTGATTTTTGAGAATATAGAGTACATCACTGTAATTTCATTATAACTGATTTTTTAAAATAAACTGTNGTCGTGAAGTTTTATTTGTTGCTTTTTTCTTTCCTTAAGCAAATGTCGGTAGCAGAAGATTGCATCCAAAATGCCTCATTTTGCTTTTGCATTCCTTTCAAAATCTGGATCATTCACTACAATTTGATCAATGATTTCGATTATCTTACCAAACTTTTACTAAGGAAATCTATAGAGAAATTTTTTGGGTTCTTTGTTTTCAGAATATCTATTTTGCAGTTACACGTGGATTCCATGTTCTGCCAGTTCTTGAAGGTCATCATTGGTAAGGCTCTAACCAGAAACCTGCTGTAACTCCTCAATATCCTGCTTGTCTATCTCCTAGTCTTACTATATCGATTAGGTTGAGTTTGGTCAACCTAACGATACACCGATAGGCTCTTTTTGTTGAGAATTCTTGGATACCTTCTTCCACAATTTGTTTGTGAATTTATCAGTTAATTCTTGCCAAGTGAAGTTGATATTTCCTATGGCATCCATGATGTTATATTTTTTCCAAAATTGCATCAAACAAACATAGATTTAAAGAAATTACACCTTTTTGCCATCTTTTGCTAATTGGTTTGTGTTTGCAAATACAGTAATACCTCTACTTACGCTACTCTGACTTATGTGAACCCAGAGTTATATGATTTTCAAATCTCGTCGATTAGTCTTTTGTTTGAGTGCCATGAAACTCTTGATTACTCACTCACCCCACACTATTGTTCGGCTTACATGTTTGGACATGTCGCGCGGAATTGACATATAGCTACAATTTATTTTGTGTTATTTATTTCTGTGTTTGTTATATCTATGGAGACTTGAGATACTCTATTATGTCATCTAAATGAAGTAGAACTGATTCTTCTGCATCAAACAAGAAAAGAAAAACTTTATCTTTGGAATGTAAAGTTAACATTAACTTTACTAGACTTCGATACAAAAGTGAAAATTTGTGAATTGGCAAAGAAGTTTGATCTACCAGAATCAACGGTCAGAACAACTATAAAAGGTAAAGAAAAAGTTCTCAAAGCTGTAAAAAATGCTCAATCTTTAAATTCAAGCATCATTCATAAACGTCACAGTATTATCCCTGAGATGGAAACAATGTTAAAATTATGGTGTGATAATCAAGTAAATGTGAAAAATTGTATAATAATATAATTTGTTATACATATATATTATCTAAGATTTTATTAAACATTTTTTTTTAAATTATTGTTTTCTTTAGTCTCCAGACCCAATTAAAAGTTATTTGTATGTATTTATATGCGAAATTATACCCAACTTACGCGGTTATCACTTGGTCCGACCTATTGCATAAGTTGGAGGTATTACTGTAATCATATTATATACGAATCAATGAAATGCCATGATAATTTAAATTGGCATAAATTTTGAGCTTTTTTTTAAGGCTTCAAGTGGACCGTGTTATATCGAATTAGTGTTAAGCAGGGTCTTACTGTAATTTTATTTCTCTATATGCTGTGTCAATAACATTAACTTGAATATAAATTTTAAGGATGATCTGAAGCCTATGTGTCCTTACATTGTCTAACCATACAGATGACTATAAATGAACTTTATGTAACTCCTAGAGAAGTTATTACTCAGATATAAATTTTAAGTTAAATTTGATTGTTTTGAGTTGTTCTTATTATTTTGATTTACAGTAGAACCCCTCTAATCCGTCACCTTTGGGACTGGGGGTATGGTCGGAATGCAAAAAAGGTCGGATTATCAGAAAAAAAGTAAAATAAACAATCTTCCCCTTTGTCCAGTCTTTGTAGCACTGCTAATTTTTCATTTAATGAAAGAGTAACGTGTTTACGTTTCACTCCTGACATATTGAAAACACACACAAAACTGTACATATACACAAAACGTAAAACATATACTGTAACGAACACAGAAAAATGCCACGGATGGTGAGTAACCGACGAGTAGGGACAAGTTTCTCGACTCCGACCACGGTCGGATTAACCGGAGTGACGGACTAGCCGAGGGCGGACTAGAGGGGTTCTACTGTAATAATAATATAATATTATCATAATTTGAAAATTAGTTAAAATTTTTATTAACTAGTTTTATTTCTTTATTTCTAACTTGATGTTTTAAAGTTTTTTTTCCATTATATTGATTTTTGAGAATATAGAGTACATCACTGTAATTTCATTATAACTGATTTTTTAAAATAAACTGTTATTTAAATTCATACATTTATTTATTCAGAAAATTCATTATCATAATTAAAATTTTTAAATTTGCTTTACTTTTGAAAAGAAAAATTGTTAAAAATATGAAAAAAAAAACTTTTAATTACAGTGAAATCCCAGTTAACGAATGTCCTGGTTAACGACCAAATCGGTTAACGAACTTTTATTTTGCAAAAATTTTGTCTCGGATAACGAACGTAACGGTATTTTGTGTCAAATTTTAGTTGGTGTTAGGCATGCGCGAGTTAAGCATTGCTTTTCCGAGTGTTTGTGCTATACTTCTTTTTTCAGTTTTGTGATTTATATATTTAATCAATATGGCATCAAAGAAAGAAAAAAGTCATAGTGGCATTAGAAAACAACAACGCAATATAAACAACAATGCGCTATCGCATTTGAGAAAAATCTTGATTAAAAGAGTAAGACAATCAACTTCTTGTTCCTTACACAAAGAGTTTGTTTTTTGTTAAATTATGACAACGCAACACTTGGGCGATCTGACTAGGGGGAATGCCTTCCGGGAGGTGTTTTTAAGGGAAACTGGCCCCTATTTAGGGGTTACAGACGTGGAGAAATCCGGAAAACTCCACGTGGCCAGCCCGTCTGAGCGAGGTGCGAACCCACGAATGAACTCCCCGTGTTCAAGGTACGAAGACCACTTAGCCACTGGTAAGGTTTTTACCGAAAGAGACTTCGACTCGAAGAATCTTCCAATGAAGTGCTACCCATTATTTTTTTTAAAGGGATTCCCTTTCTAAGCATTAAGGTTCGTATATCTCCACTTTTCTTCCAGCAACTACAACAAACGAAGGTATGTACTGTACAGTGCTATTTTATTAAACAAAGTTTACATGTTTGTTGTTGTAATGATAGATACTACGTTTTCCTACATTTTCATCAAAGAAAATTATTGTATATTAAAAATAAAATGACAAAAATTTTGGAGACTAGAACGGATTAATTGCATTTGCATTAATTTCTATGGGAAAAATTGCTTCAGTTAACGAACGGAGTCGCGGAACGGATTAAGTTCGTTAACCGGGGTTCCACTGTATTACAATTTTTAATTGTAATGCATTTAATGTGGAACATTCTGATTTAAAGTTACAAATCTAATTTTAAATAATTCCATAGTAATTTCTTCCAATTCAGATTTAATTTTTGAGTGTTTATTGTCCTTAACACACACCTTTATTTGTTTAGAGTAGATGCAAATCCATTATTACAATTTTATATTAGAATACTGATGATAATGTATTTTATTTTATTGATATAAAATTATATCACAATCATCTGTAGTAGTTCTGATTTTAAATTATGAAAAATATTGATATAGGATACCAATACATTTTTTATATTTTTTCTTAAAATTATTCTATTTCAACATATTTACTTCAAATTATCTTTATTATTATAAAAACAAATTCTGAATTTTCCAATTTAATAGAGAACCTCCTGCAGAAAGTCAATCAAAATCAATTAAAACCCTCATTAAAAATATTAGTAGTGGTCTTCCTGCTTCACCCATATTGGGTAGACGGCATCAAAGTCAAAGTGAATTGAGAAAACAGACAACAGAAGAAACAATAGGTGAGGTTTTTGAGTTAAATTATGAAATCTGTATTAATTAATGAAAATGTATTTGATTTATTTAGGATCTCTTCCAAAATTGAAACAGAGATCACCTAGTATACCAAGTCCACAACCAATAGCATCAACATGTTTAACAACAAAAAAGAAAATGCAGATGGAACAAGAAGCAAAAAAGAAACTTCAAGCACAAACAGTATTTAGTTTACATGATTACATTATTTTCTATTATTATTTAAATTTAGAAATTTTATAATCTAGTAAATGTGATGCCTGCTTGTTGGGGTTTTTAATAACAAGATTGAAATCAAGATTCCAATCCAGCATATTTAATTAATAAATTATTTATTATATAACTTTTAGGAAATTTTGAGTGCTTAATTTTATCTAATATTTTGTAGGACACTAATTTTCCAAATTTGAGATGATATTTGTCATCTGTGGTTTGAAGATGTAGTTACTAAAAACAACTGTTCTATCAGATTTGAATGCCTGTTGAATGCCTGTTAGTACATGTATCTGAATTCAAAAAGTTCTTGATTTTGTAATATGTATTTGCTGCTTTTTTTTAATATGATGAAAATATTATGATTAAGTTTTGTTTGTAGATTTTTGTGTAATATGGTGTAATACCTTTTACATAATAGGTTTACAAACACAATAAGTACTTTATCCATTTTTTACATCTGACTTTTATTACATGACTGAGTTTTGAATATTTACTAATTTTTTCAGTGTTTTTTGTATGTTGTGGAATGGATATGTTTATATATATAATATTTTGTTTGTTAATGAATGTGATCTCTGTTCTGATTTGTTTTTGTCTTTAGTTATGACTCCATCATAGTATTTTTTGTATGTGATGTTTTCTAATACTGTTTGCAGTGTGTATTTGTAATATGGTAAATAGGTGTATAATAATTTCAGTTTGTTTGAAAGCTTTTCATATATTATTATAGTTGCCAACCATCAATGGACAGTTTGCTTTTCTCTTTTTTCAGCGTTTTTAAAGAATTTATCATCGTCACATAAACAGTTCATTTAATGAGTCTAATACCTGATTTAATGAATCTAATATATGTTGAATACATTGTATGTATTTTATTACTAACAACTGAAGCAAACCAGAGTGAAGTTCTCAGATTCATTCAACTGGAATAGAACCAAGATTGATATTTTTATATATGTGTATTTGTATATGTATGAGAATTTTAGTTAAAATGTGATGATTTTAAATGGGAGACAAGATAAATTGCATTCTCAAGTCTGGAAATGTTACTGCCATAATGGTTAAATCAATTATGGTTGAATCATCAGCGAAAAGAAATAAGTTACTTTAACAATTGAGCAGTGCTACAGTTTCTCTGAAGAAACATCTGATTTGTCACTTAAGGATATACAGGCCTTATAAACTTATAAGGTCTGTATATTCTTAACTTTCTGAAGAAAAGAAACTAGATGGTTCTTAGAGATTTGTGGATTTTATGAAGATTTGTAATCTTTGTAAAATAGCAGTGGAGTGCCATGACATTTGATGATAGGGAAGCTGTGTTTCTGTAAGAAGCCGATATCCAAGGGCAATCAGTCAATTGCATGTCAGTGATGGTCTAGGGTCCATTCGTATCGTTTATTTAAAGCTACAAACAGATCAGAAATTTGTTTTATTTAATATTAAATAAAACAAATTTCTGATCTGTGAAACTTTGTTGCAGTATCTGTAAAGCCAGTCTAATAAGTCCTGATAATAGAAAATACTTACTAGTAGACAAAAAATTTTACATTATAAGTGCCTAATGGTGTTTGTATCTTTTTATATATTGTTTATCAAACTCAGTGTTGTGTAAGTTTATTTGTGTTCTTTCATCTGCAAGAGTACAGCTTTGTGTAATTTTGATATTTCTTATTTTGTAGAAATGCTTTTGCAATGTCTGTATTTTTATTGTAAGAATTTATTATATGTCAGGCCTCCTCTTTTCTCCTTACTAGGAAGAGTTAGTTTCACTAAAGAGAATTTAGGGTTTCTTATGCTTTGTTAATTGTGATTGCATTATCATTTAGAGTTTCTCTAATTCTATATGTGCCTAATGTATAACTCCAAATGAGTATGTGAGTACTAGATATTTGTTGCTTTAAAAGTTTAAATATATATTTTGCATTGAATTGTATTATCAGTATTGAGTTTATTGTTGTATTCCTTTGTTGGTCTCTTTTATTTTTGAATATTCTCTGAAGTTGGCCTGTTGAAATCCTAAATACTTGTAGATCTTGCCCACATCTATGAATTCAATGATGCAGAATTATTTCTGTGCAAAACTGTTCTTTACGATTTATTTTTCTATGTGAACCCATGGTTAGTAGATGAACAAGGATTCAACATTTTGATTTGGACGGTAATTCTGTGATGACAATCAATCTGCTGAATCTTGACAAGATTGAAAAAGTATGCTTTGAATCCAAAATAATTGAGAATCACTGATTTAACCTATTGAAGAGTGGATTTAAGACAATATGACACAAGAGTGGACTTTTTCTTTGAAAAACTTTTTAAAAATTAAATACAATTTTTGAACATTAATATATTTTATAATTAATATATAAAATTTATATATTTCTAGTAGATACATAAACATAATAATTAACCTGGTTTCATAACGCATAAATTAAAACAAATTAAATGTGTATTTAATTTATTTTAATGTATGTGTTATGAAACCAGGCGTAATATCAATCTCCAGTATTTTCTAAAAATATAGATGTTGGATGTATTTTGTATGTTTAGTGTAATTTTGTAATAATCACAAATGTGAGATGCTTTTGAATGTTTTCCTGTAATATACATATGCTTATGTAGGTGCAAAAACATATAAATATATGTTTTTGCACCTACATAAATCTTTGGCTATGTCTTGGGCTACTCCAATATTATTTTTGTTGGTGATCATGTTTTAGCTGGCAGCACTGGCGCGACTATGAGAGGGTACTTAAGGACATGCCAGGATTTGAACGAATTTCAACATGGGATAGATTAATATATTTTTTCATACATAATCAGTTATTCGAAAAATCGATATTCCAAACAACCCCAATCTCCAATTGATTCAGATAATCGATGCTCTACTTTATTGTATTATTCAGTATGCTAATATATTTTGTTTGCAATGCATGATTATAATATTTTGTAGAAAGGATGTGATTGGTATATATTGTATAGTGTTTTTAGTGTTGTCATTTTGGGTTACATATATATATATATATGATGTCTTGCATAAGGAATTTTGAAATGTCTTATAGATTGTTTATAATATTTGTTAAATGTTTGGCTAGTTTCTGGTGTAAGAATGAAATTTTTTTATCTTGAGAGATTGTCTTGTACATGAGTAAATATGGTTTATTTTGGCAATTGGCTTAATTTAAATGTTATAAATTATGTTTATGTATCTACTAGAAATATATAAATTTTATATATTAATGTTCAAAAAACATTTTCTGTATTTAAAATATATTTATTGGTATTTTTATAATGTTTGAACCTTAAAAATTAAATAGAAAAAAATAATAATAATTTCCTTTATATTTTTATTTATATAAAAAATAATAATCTGTTTAATTTCTTAATTTTTATATTATGGTTGATTAAGTAAAAATGATGTATAATTTATTCAAAAAAATAATTTGGTTTTAAGAGTCAAGAAACTACAAAGTTTGAAGGATTACGCTCAACTGACCAAACCACCAGGAGACCATCACTTCCATGTGCAGTTCCTGAAGTCATAAGTGAAGGTGACTTAATATATTTAAAAAGTGTTTTTATGATTTCAAATTCATTATAGTATATAGATACAGTAATATACAATCATTTCTCATGTGTACTTATCATTAATAACAAAGTAAAAGAGCACCATTTAATTAGTCTAAAATCATTTTCTGGATTTTTAATTAGCATTGTGTAAACAGATTTAAATTTCTAAGCAGTAAAATGATTTTGTTTTAAGCAACCTCCTTAAAAAACAATTTTTGAGGTTACATGGAGAATCAGATAGAAATTTTTTTCATTGTAGTAAAAACATTAAAATTTCATTCAATAAAAAAAAGTTCTATGTGATTCTCCATGCATTACTTCCTCTGTAACTACAATAACAAAATTAATGTATTTTCAGTACTAACTGAAATTGCACTCAGTATGAAAATAGCAAATGCTTCAACACCTTATTTGTTGAAAAATTTCAATTCCTTCATGAACGTTCTATATGTCATCCTCAAGTACATATTACAAGTTAATTAATGTATACTAAACATTCTCAAGACAAATATTTTAAACATTGGAACAAAATTTAAATACAAATCTTGGAACATATGAATTTAAATTAAATTAATGTATTACAAAAAAACACAAAATGTATAAAAACAAACAATTGTAACTAAATGAACAAATATTGTAAAATAAATAACTCAATAACAAAAATGAAAAATGAAAAGTTCAAACAAAATTCAATAAACATGAAGATAGAAATTTACAAAAGCCAGCTAATGGTTGTCTGAATGCTAGAGTTGCTGAAGGTTTGCAAATGACTGGAAGTATATTGTGGAAAACAAAATAAAAATATATATATAATGGTTCATAACTTAAGTTTTTAATGCTATTGCAACCAAGATTAAACTTCTGTTTTTCATTTTTGTTATTGGATTACTTATTTTGCAATCTTTGTTCATTTAGTTACAATTAATTGTTTTTTATACATGTTTTGTTTTTGTAATATGTTCCAAGATTTGTATTTAAATTTTGTTCCAATGTTTGAAAATGTTTGTTTTGATAATGTTCAATTTACAACAATTAACTTGTATTCTGCACTTGAGAGTGACTTGTAGAACAAGTCAAAAATGTTCATAAAGAGATTAAGATTTTTTTCAGCAAATAAGGTGTTGAAGCATTTGATATCTTCAGTACTTTTTGGAATGAAGAGAGTGCTAGTCATTTTTGACTCGTCCTTTATATGCAACCCTATGAAAAATTAATACTTTTTGTGTTGAAATATGATTAAAACTACAAAAAATAAAAACCTTTAAAAGTTTTAATCTTATTTAAAACCAGAAAAATATCTGATAATTGTTATAATTGGTTCTCCTCAATCTTGATCATGTTATTTGTACTATTATCTTAATATGTATGTATTTCCAATATATACTGTAGTGTATATTAATTTAAAATTTGTACTTTTTTATTTAATAAATAGGTATGTCTCTGAAAGGAAACTTTCTAGTGCTAAGTCAGGTTAGTTTAATGACTAATCATATATATGTTTCAATATTCAATTATAATTTATTATATGTATTTGATGTATAAAAAATTATCATTTCATATTATAGGAACAATACAAAGATCATCATAGTAGTATTACACATTGTAAATTCAACAGTTCTGGGTCTGTTGTTGCTAGTGCTGACATGGATNCCCTATGTTAAAATGACCTCGTTTAATGCTGTTTCACTTAGTGCTTTGTTGTCTAGGAACCCATTCTCTGCATTATGTGGGTTCTTACTGTAGTACATTATCTTTATATATATATATATTATTTGCATTAGAATATGGAATCCCAGTCCGTCCCCACAAGCCATAACCACAATTGTCTCAAAGTGTAGTGTATTGGCTCTAGAATGGGCAACTAAGCGAGAAAGATTAGTAAGTTAATTTTTAGAATTCTTAAATAGTATTGAGTCAGATCATATTTATTTAAAATATGATTTTTTTTTATTTATAGCTTCTACACGGAAATACAACTGGTCGCATTCGATTTTATGACATTAAAGAGAGAAAAAATGTGTGTGATATTTCTCCTGAAACAAACAGTTTACTTAAAGATCAAAAGTAATTACATTATTGTTATTATAAAAATTTCCAATATAAACTTTTATTTTTAATAAATTATTAAAACATCAAGCATTCTGTCTAACAAAAGAAAGGAACAAAATCTAGATATTACTTATTGCTAGACAATTATCTATCTGATAGATAATGTTAAATTATATATAAGTGTTTTTAGAAGGTAGGTAAGATTAAAACTAATGTTCATACAAATCCAAAGAACAAGTTTGGATATCTTCCAAAACCCATCGCTTTTTTTCATTTTTCTGTTAGGTTGTATATATACATTAAAGAAAAAACAATATCTGTAAAGTTACAAAATAAACAGTATAAAAATGAGTATGTGATACTTATATACCAACTGCTATTTGTTGTCTTTGAAATAATTTCCCATTGTATCAATATGTCATGGCTAGTGTTTCTGAATGCCATTAAAACAACAGTAGATAATTTTTTAAAAATACTTTGCATTTGTTCTTTCATGACTTGAATATTAGCAATGATGACCATTCAATGCTTATTTAAATCATGGGAAAAAGAATTTGATTGTAACACTAGGAAATATGAAAAAATACTTGAAATATCTGTTCAACACTTCTTAACACAAAATAAAAATCTTCATATGACAATACAATAACTTGATTTTTGTTTTAAAAAGTTTCAGACAGCTAATGTCAGTTGTAGTATTATATCATGAAAAATAAATTACTCCACAACTGAGTGATGACAATGAATACTCAAGTGAAAATATTTCATGTAAAAACCTTGAGTTAAAGTTAGATCCTTTGAAAAAAGTTTCTTGTGCACTATAGCTCTAAATTAAAAGAAAAATAAGCATTATGTGTTTTTAATAATTAAAGTTTGAGAATTTTTCATGGCAGATGGATTGATGTCTTTCCATTCTTTGTCATTGAAATTTGTACTACAGGCATCATATTTTATCTCCATTTATAACTGAAGAAAAGAATATGTTGTCATTGTATACACTTTCCAAAAGATTGGTGCTAATTAAAGAATGAACCTTCTTTTATTTTTGACAGATTCCATATAAGTTTTGTATTCAATTTTCTTTGGCCTAGATCATGAGCAGGCAACCCTTTGCACACTGATGACTTTATTCTGGCACACAACCTTACTACCTTAAAAAGTAAATATCCAATAAGTTTACTGATTTACGTATTTTAACTTAATAGAATACAGTTTTATTGAATAAAGCAATAAAAAACAAACACTATCAATTGTTTTAGTAATAATAAGTAATAAAATGGAGTAAACATCCTATTTCCAAGATATCTATTTCTGCATTTTACTGACTCACAAGTTATCCCATTCTGTCATTGCATCATTCTTCAGGCAGTCATAACTGGAGTGTTTTTTTTTTTATTTGTTGAACCATTATTATATACATTTTTTTGTGTTTTCTAAAGCATTAAGTCAGGTTTCTAAGTGTGTATATGTGTGGATTTTTAATTATTTGAAAATGTTCTCGCCATACTTAAAAGAACCAAATAATAATGTGCTCTCAAAAATTTTGCCCACTCCTGGTCTAGATCCTCATGTTAAAGGATGTAAACAATATTTTCAGCTATGCATGAGGCAAAAGGACAGCCAGCATGGATTCTTCAGTTATTTCACCTTCCATCATAAAAATATCAATATTTACAGGTGATATTGCATCATCATTTTTGCTACAAGTTATGGGTCTTATTTACAGTCAATATTTACAGGTAATATTGCATCATCATTTTTGCTACAAGTTATGGGTCTTGGTGACACTTTTGTCCAAGTTGAAACAAAACTTATTTTTCATGCTTCATTTTTATATACATTATATTGCTGGAGCTCAGTTATTTGTAAAACAAATATACCTGGTAGATACAAAAATGTTCTTACCACATTGTTATAAGAGTAAACTACAACCTATTCAGAAGTAGAGAAATAAATCTAGTTTATTTCCATTAAAATAGAATAAGTTTATCTAATATTTTATTTATTTAATAAAATTAGTCATGGAACATCACACAATGTCAAAAAATAAATAAATAAAAATATTTGCAGGTGAATCAGTCTTTCAGTTTTTACAATTTTTTTATGTTTTTTATAGAATAATGACTCTAGTATGTAGTCCCACAGAAGCATTTTTTGCTTGTTCAACGAGTCCAAATACATCTCATAGTAATGAAAAATCAGATAGTACAACCAATCAAAGAGGACAATTGTTATTGTGGGATATGAGAACAATACAATTTGAGGTAAAGAAGTAAAAAGTATTAGATAAAAGAATAAATAAATTAGTATAGAAATAAAGTTTAACAAAAACAAATGAGCTCTAAAAATACTTTAAACATTTTGTAATTAATATAAATCAAATATCCATTCATTAATGTTATTTTATAAATTAAACCATAAAAAATTTCTTATTTATGAAGTCAAATATATATATATTTTTTAAACTTTTTTTCACTAAAGCGTTCACTATTGAAAGAAAGCAGCCATACCAATGTTAATTGCTGTGCATTTAATCATAATGGCCAGTTGCTAATAGCTGGCACTGTAGATGGAAGGATTTGCATGTTTGGTAAATAAAATTTTATTTAAATTTCTTTCATATCAAAAAAATATCCTCAAGTATTATTTTTTTCTAAAATTCTACAGATTTGAGAGCTGGAGAAAGTATTGCCACTTGGTCAGCACATGATGGAGATGTGTTCTGTTTACAGTTCAATCCAGACGAAACTGCATGCTACACAATGGGAGGTGATGGAAAGGTAATATTTAAAAATTTTTCAAATGTCAAGAAGTGTTAAACTGAATATAAGTGTAAATATATTTATAGTTTTAAAAAATAGGGCCAATATGCTTAAAAAATTCTTTCCTCTTGCATTGTTTTGCTAATAGAATAGATGAACATTTAATCCTGATATAATACAGGATTAAATGTTAAATAAATATTAATGGTTAACATTAACAATCATACAAAAACTGAATTATTATTTACTTCATTTTTTACTCTCTTTTCATCCTGTGGGCACTAAGAGGGCCATTTTACCATGCCCATAATGGGGGTGGCTGGGTAATTTATACTGAGACAGAGCCAAAGAAATTGTGAGTTTAGCTCACCTGGATTCAATTCCAAGTCTATAGAGTGGTTGTAAATTGCCTTAATCACCTTAGCCATCAAATCGAATAAATTCATGTAGTAAATTACTTTGAGTAATTTAATGAAATATATTATTACAGTAAATCCCTGCTAACTCAGACTAATAGGGAATGAAGATTGGCCAAGTTTACAGAAATCTGAGTCAGCAGGGTGTTTTCTCTGATGATGCGAATATACAGTACAGTAATTTCTTACAATTAGATCTACACAGAAGTTTTACTAAGTTTCTAGTAGGTTAAACACTGAATTTGTTTATTATTACAGGAAATGAAATCAATTTCATGACAGTACAATATGCAGCAATGTAATCTTTAGTAATTTACTGACTACAGTAAATTAAGCATCACAACATCACAAAGACTACTGAATATCGAAAATATTCATTAATTATAATTTTTCTATTGTCAAGAAATTTTAAATTACTGTTTCAAAAAAATTTGTTTGAGTTATGCAAAGTCCAAGTTAGCAGGGGTTTACTGTAGTTATAAATGAATTTTATCATTATTAATAAATACAAATAGATATATTGTACCAAAAAAAGAAAAAAAGCACAATAAAGAATTGATCCAAAACCATTTTTCATATTCTCCATAAAAAAAAAACAGGAACAATAATCCATAACACATAGTTTTACCTTTTTAGCTTCATACTAAAAACAAAAAAATAACAATGATGTGGTTAAATATATAATGCTTATACTGGCAATAACATAATTTTGACAATATTCAATCACTGACAAGAAATACAAGATTTATGATTGCTTTATTAATAAAAATACAACTCAACAAAAACTGAAGAATGTAGTATACCCATATTGTATTTTGGGCAAATAAATATATTTAATGTGTTTTAGAATTTGAATCATATAATTCAGATTGACAAATTTTATTTTTTTTGTAGTTTATCCAATGGAGTATCAACAAAACTGGTGATAAGATGGCCGAATTGGCAATTCATAATGGAGCAACTGGACCATTCATCCTACCAAATAATCCTTCTGTTCATCATCATCCAGTGGGAAAATTATTCACTTTTGATTCTGATGGAAGCCATGTTCTAACATGCGGTCCTTCTGGAGGGATAATTTATAAGGTATTTTTAGTGGACATTCTTTCAGTTAGATTTGTAAAGTTTTATCTTTAGAAAATCTTTTGCCTTTCCCTGCAGGATGAGACTAATGGAAGAATCTCTGCTTCCATGAGTTTGGGTGGTCACGTCTGGCCAGTAAACACGGTCGACTGGTGCACCGGCATGGACTGTGGCACTTGCCTCACCGGTTCGTTAAATGGGGACATTGTCATATCTACATTACTGCCACAATAAGATTTTTTGCAAGACTTCATATATTTATCAATTTCTTAAATTATATGCTATTTAATTTATCAAAATAATTTTATACAAAATGATGATGAATACAATTTAAATGTTGAAATGTTTATTTCTACAAATGGAAATAAAAGGCAGTCACACTAGGAATCTGCTGGAAGTCCATACAATTTAACTGTTCCTGCATCTCTGTCTCTGTCATCACAGGCAAATGCCAAGAGGTGGCGTTTCGGATGCCAAGCCACAGTGAAAGTGGGTGACTCGCAGGGAACTTCTGCTATTTTTTCACCTGTCAAGAAACAAAATATTTGAAATCTTGCAATGTATTGAATAATTATTTCTAAAATGAGGTAACAAGTCATTCCAAATGTCTGTATTATATTGTATTTATACAACAAACTTAGAAAATTAAATTTATTTTCCTTATTAGAATGAGATTCATGTTTTATAATGCATGTTAACATTAATATTATATATATACAACAATTTAGAAACTAAATCATTATGGCAGACTTTTGTATGTCATAAACAGAGAAAAAAAACCTACAGTTGCTCCAATTAAGACTAGTAAACCCGAGTTTGCTCCTGATTAAAACATCTTGGTATAACACAAAGTTCAGTTGACAAAAGACATTTTTATTTACTATGCATTTTGGGATAAAGACACAAAAATATATCTGATATTGGTAATTTTATAATGACAAAGTAAAACTACAAACTAGGAAAACTAGTTTTTCCATAAACTCTCCTCAAAGCTTTGTTTTAAAATTCAAGAAAAAAAATTATCAAACTGTCCCAAATGATTAAAAGTATGTAAATTATTACATAAAAGATGTTATCTTATTGAATTAAAAATGCTGACCAATTACAGTGGGTGATCAGTTAACGAACAGATAGGATAACGAACACTTTCGCTAAAGATTTTTATGATCGGACAACGAACACTTCACTGAACAAACACAAGAAGAAGCGCGTAAATAATGAATACCAATTGGTCTTCCTTTGTCTCAGGCAACAATTCGAAACTCTTCGGAGCGCGGGAGACGTCGACAACGACGTTCTACCCAGTATATACTGATAGAATAGTATTCCCCCGAACTTTGAAACTCTCCCTTGTAATTCCAGCCTTTTATATTTCTGACATAAACAATTCTTTTACGTTTTCTTCCGATATCTGCGATTAAAGATTTTTTGAAGAAGTGGGATGATGTCAGAACAACGGTCTTAAAATGGCATCCAAACCAGGTTGAGGTTAATAGGCCTATAGATCTCTACAATTACGTATATGTATATATGTATTTTTATTATTACATGTGAATAAACGTAGTAAGAAAGTATACATATTTTTATTTTTTGGGGGTCTCCAGAACGAATTAATCAAATTCCCATAGAAACCTATGGTAAATCGATAATCGGTTAACGAACAATTCGGATAGCGAACAAAGTCTTGGAACGGATTATGTTCGTTAACCGATCACCCACTGTATTAACAGACTTAAAATAGGAATCTTGAGGTTAATGAACTTATGAACTGATGAGTTTAGATGTCATTTTCATATATCCTTCAATAAAGACTACTTTGGAAGAACTTGAGGTGGATTATTAATTAATACAATTGGCTGAAAAATGCTTTTCCTCAAATTATTTTAAGATAGAGGATAAGTTTTTTTAGGCAGTTGGAAGGAATAGCGATGGGTACAATTATAGACCCTAAACTAGCAGATTTGTTTATGATCAATATTGATAGGAGATTGGCACATACAGATGGAGTGGTTTTTTATGTAAGATACATTGATGATTATTTTTTTCAGTATCAAAAATCAGTAAATTAAGGATGTTTATATTGTAAAAATAGCCAATAAAATCCATTTGAATATAAATTGAAAAAATTGCAATATTAATTATTTGGATATTACTATAAAACAGTTAATTTTCACATTAGGTTCGCTATATATAAAAAAAAACTAGTAATACATTAGACAAAAGGATTTATGACTTTTAATGTCTTAAAGGTAATAATTTTATAACAGCATTAGCCAAAATTTGGAGAAGAACTTCCTGTTTGGAAGATATGAGATTATTAATGTGGAATTTTTTAAGAATACTAGAATACTAGATATAGTCAAAAATAATAGAGAAATAAAACAATGTGTAAAATTTCCTTATTGCAGTATTTTTCAAATATATTTATATATGGTTAAAAATGTAAAGTTTTGATAATACCAAAAATAAAATAAAAAACATAAGTAAACCTTCACTAGATGATAAACAATATTAGTGAAATAAGGAAGTTAGGCAGGAGATTGAATGAATAAATGTCAATTAGATCAGGTTACAGACAGTCCCCTTGGTTTTTGCACTGCACAGAATATGGTTGTACAATAAGTAAAAATAGTTAAGATATTTTATATAGATCTTTCTCAAAATGTAATATGTTTTAAGGAATATACTGAAATGTTCCATTCGTCAAAGTCAATTCATTTAAATAAATGTATTGAGGTAAATGCCATACTGTAAGAAAGTGTGATTGAAAAAGTTAATTGTACTCACAGGAAGTTCTTGTTAATGTCTTCAGGATTATTGTCACCAGGAGGATTATAAAATTTATGAGTGGTCAAAATTGTACATAATTTCTCAACAGTTTTATGTATCAATTTACCTTTTTTAATAATTTTTTTTTTTTTTTTTGATAACATTGCCAGGACAATAATTGTAAATTCACAAAAAATTATATAATTTAAAAGACTCTTTATCTTAAAATAAAATAAAAATATAAAATTTTATTATTTTATATTCTTGAATTTTAAAACAAGAAATTTTGTAAAAGAATGCTTTGAGGAAAATATTGTGATGTTACTGAGAGATATTTATGTAAAAATGAATTTTTCCATTGGTAGTTATAATTTTTATTTTTTACATTGTCATTATAAAATTACTAATGTTGGATATATTTTTATGTGTTTTGTAGCCTAAAGAGGAATGTTTTAATCCTGAAATGAATAATGAATAAAAATTTCTTTGGTCAACTGAACTTTGTCTCCTTATTAAAATGAACTTGGTTATAATACAAACTCGGCTTTACTATTTGATAGTCTTAACTGGAACAATTGTAGGTTTTTCTACATTTATATTAATATTATATATTATACCAATATAATTAGTTCAGCTTTACATCACATAAAATTGCTATCAGTATGGAACTATAGGAAACCTCTGCCCTGTATATAATACTTTACTCCAACAATGATTTGCTTGGCTATCATTGTTGGAGTAAAGTATTATATACAGGATATGCTAGGCTATAAAGTATTATATCAACAGGATATGCTAGGCTACAGGCATATTTAAAATGTCTAATATAGTGCCTAATCTATGATGATTTTATCTGAAAAATTATGAGCTAATGCAAAATATTTCATATGTACAGTAGACCCCCTATAATGCGGGTTCCTGTAATGCAGATTCCTATAATGCGGCGAAAAAATTGCGACAGTACAGTAGGATGCCCTATAAGACGGTAGATACGTTCCGTTCATTATGAATCCGATTTTGTAGGAATCACAGCCCGACACGTGTGAAGTTTACGGACTAAGGCTGTTTGAAACGTTTTCTTCCATAAAATTAATCGATTCTAGACTAATTCGACTCAACATTTCCAAAATACGTATATTTTTTTTGGAAATAATCCGTATAAACTACGCTATAAACAAAAAATTGTAGGATTACTTACCGAGTGTGCACCATTCGACATCGCCATTGCTCAAGCTTGTTTTCGTTGCGGAACAACTCAACAAACCGCGGCCGCAATTTCTGATGTTATTTTTCTGCGAAAACTTCGCTGAACTTTGGAGACATCATTAATATAAATAATTTTTTTCGCCGTTGAATAAGAAATGTTTCTTTCACAAGAAATGTATAAAATTACAGTACT